CAGACAAGTGAAACAATCGAACACAGGTTTGGAATAGAAATATCTAAAACTAATCAAAGAATAAACATTTGTGGGATTAACATACTTTTCCTTCCAAGAAATTTTGTTTATTGACCAGTAGATGGCATTGCCAATAAAAATAGTCTAACAAAAAAAGGACCCTCTTTACTCACAGGGTTCTGTAGGAACAAGAAATGTTTTGTTCTGTTCACAAGAGGGGCATCTTAGTCCCTAGCGAACTACATGTCGCATTGTACAAAACACAGCACACAAATGTCATAAGCTGGTAAATACCAAATCAACAAGAAAGTCTTATCCTTGAAATGTTCAACATGACTTTACACAAACTGTACATTTGAATTAGAACATATTGATATATATGCACACTTCCATTTTCTTTGTGATGGGTCTATCAAAAGGTGTAAGGTGAAGATATAGTAAGATTCTGAGGTCATTTTTTCCACCTTGATTTCATGATAATGTAGCCATGCACTGACATCATATCCAAGCAAGTGGTGAAAAGAAAGAGAGCCTCATTTTGAAATTCTAGGATCGAAGTCAGCCTTTCAGTTTTCTCATTTTTATCTTTTGAATGATGGTAAGAGTTTATTTTTACTTTATTTGTTTTATTTTATCAGCTGGACTATATACCCAAGACACACTAAAAAAATAAATTTTAAATTTCAGCATCCCCACTCCTTCAGGCACATGAGTAATAATCACATCAATGTAAACATCACTTTAGTCTGATGAAATCCTTAAGGACAAAACTTTTCACATAAATTTTTTTTCCACTGTTATAAATACTAGGCACATCAGAGGCCAAAAATTTAAAATTTTAATTTCCCTGTATCTTCGGGTGTTTTCTTTTTATGGTTGATTAAAATGTTTTAACAAAATTTTCTTCTGTTTTACCGCAGCAACAAAAAATAGTACCACAGTCATATTTACGAGGTTTCGGCTGAACAATATAAATAGTGTAAAAATAACAATAACTGCAATACTCCATCTCAGAAATATAGACAGAAAGGGAATTACATTGCGATGAAAGATGACTAAAAAAAGGGTGCTAATCAGCTATTTTATATACGAACAAAAACTCCTTCCAGTCAATTTAAATCAGTTTTGAAATGTAGCAAAGAAAGTATTTTGTTTATTCGAGATATCAAATCTAATCCATAAACTTTAAAGCTAAAATAAATGCTTCAAGAAAGATTTCCATTTTCAAAAATTCATTTTAAACCTTAGGTATTGTTTTATGTTGTTATTTTGTTTTAGGTACCCATGTGTGTGTGTGTGTGTGTGTGTGTGTGTGCAGGATTGACTAAATAGAAAAATAGAAAAGCTTGCTGTTGACATTTATCAGCGATATACATGTTTCAGTTTCCGTGTTGTGTGTCTTGTTTACATTTTTATTCCCATCTGCTATAGAAATAAGATTTCATCAATAAAAAATATCATTTCGTCTGAAGAAGTTCTTTTGAAGGATGAAACATATTACATGGCACTTTTTTCTATTTTGTCATTTATATGAAGAAATATAGTTTTAAAGTGTGCTATATTTATGGGATGAAGTGCTCAATATCAGAGATAGAGCGTATGTAAATATAAATATAAAAGTGAACATTGAAGTCAACACTCAGAGGTGACTGGCTGTTTCATGCTGGATGCAATAGTCAGGCAGCATGAAACAGCCTATTGCCTCTGAGTATTGACTTCAATGTTCACTTATATATATATGCACACACACCTTGTGCAAATTAATTGAAACAACTGTTTTATTTTCCTTTCTTTCACCATATGATCAGTTTTAGAGCCACTAGAGCAACAGAGTGTAATCGATTTCTATTTTTTTTACTGAGATTAGGTCATTTGCATTGGTGTGAAATAATATAATTCTATTTTCAGAGTGTATGATGAAATTTGTTTGGCCTTGAAAAATATTGCGTCATCTGTGACTGCATCAGATTTTTACCACACCCAGACACTATTGTCTCAATTGTTGATTAGTTGTTCTACAACCATTGTCTGTTACTCCAAGGAAGTGTACAAAAATTGTAAGCCTTACCAGTGAGCAAATCAGAGTACTATATAGACTGGCCTAGAAACTCTCCTGGTTTAAATCTAATCAAGAATCTGTGGTCAATTTGCAAGGAACGACATCATGGAAAAATATGGAAAAAAGTAAATAACAGAATTATTCATTTTGTTTCAATTAATTTGTGCAAGGGTGTGTGTGTGTGTGTGTGTGTGTGTGTGTGTGTATATATATATATATATATATATATATATATATATATATATATAGTTAAATTTCCAGATGAATTCTGTGGACAAGACAGATTGGTATCAAATGACAATTGGAAAAAATCATACATTTTGCCGACACGTTTAGTCTTCCGACTTTTTTCAAGGCAAAAATGAAATCGAAATGTTTTTGCTGTTATAGTTACATTAAAATTCAAAATTAAAAAAAATTAAAAAGATAGACGCTTGATTTTTTCCAATTGTCATTTGATACCAATCTGTCTTGTCCACAGAATTCATCTGGGAATTTAACTATATTGTCGACATGGAAAAAAAAAAAAAAAATAATAATCCTTACTATAAAGGTAATTTACATTAACCAGAAAAAAGCTTAGACACAAGTGTCTATCTTTTTAATTTTGAATTTTAATGTAACTATAACAGCAAAAACATTTCGATTTCATTTTTGCCTTGAAAAGTCGGAAGACAAAAACGTCGGCAAAATGTATGATTTTTTCCAATTGTCATTTGATACCATATATATATATATATATATATATATATACACGGTACAATGAACAGCAGCTCAAATTGAGGAATTGGAGAGCCAAGTTCATGTAAATACTCTTGGGTATGAATCCATCTCTTCTTAAGCTATGAGTAAATAGCAGGACAAACTGGGTTTGAAAATTAATTGATAAAATTAATGTTCAGTATTGTAGACTAGTCATTGCTAGGCTAGCTGTTGTTGTTGTTACTTCTCTGACAGTTGGCCTATGACATCTGAACTTTATGGTTAAGTACAGTTTATTTCTTTACAACTTATTTTTTTCTATTTTATTTTATTGTTTGTAAACTGCATTTCTTGTTTATTCACATGTTTTTGCTTGTAAAAACCCCAACAAATACAAAAATAGGAGTAAATTTTAGAAAACAAGAGTGATTTTTAGGAGCCTGGAAATATTCCCATTAATTTAAATGGGGAAAACTGATGTGAGTTTTTTGATAGAAGAGCTTGGTTTTTTGGAATGAATTAAACTCATATCTCAAGGCATTACTGTATTTGGTTTGATTTTGAACTGTTGGAACTAATTCTTTGACTCAAATGGAAGTGCTTACTTACATGTCTATGGCTCAGATCTTAATATCATCTGGCTCCACCTACCTACTTCTGGAATACCACCCAAAAATACCAGGGTTATAAAAGATAAGGCTCACACGTTTTTCCCAACATCCATTTCTGAGCCACTCACTGGCTACATAGCCAATGACAATTTTACCCACAATGGTAGATTTAACTCAGCTGACAGTGATGGACCCTCACAACAGGCAAGATTAACCAAATGCAACAGACTACAAGACTTTGTAGCCTACCGATAGCAACATAAAGTCCTTTCCCCTCAATGGCAATGCCTTTGACCAGTAATGAAACAAACAGCAAAATAGACTAACTCTCAATTTTGATGTGATTATTCATAGAATATTTCTTCCATATCTCTATCTCGACTACTAACTTGTGTTATAACCTGAACTCTTTATCTTCCACAACTGATATATGTGAGTAAATAGTATAGTAGTAAATAATTGAACTTTGTAAACCACATGCATTTGTTGTTGTGTCACTTCATCTTTTTTTTTTCCAGCATGTCCTAGTAATTATGTATTATTCTTTCATGCATGGATACACAAAATATACAAGGATTCTTGAAGTTGTTTATCAGCATACTAATTTAATCTTACTAGTAGCTCCGTATTTGTAGCCTTGTGCCAGATTATACTCAGGCTTGTCGCTAAGGTGGGGCCTGTATTCCACTATGAAAATGAAGTGAGCTAATTTTAGAGTTTATATTTTAAGAATTAGCACACAAAGTTAAACCCATTTCCAATGCTTGACAATGTTTCTTATTCCATTGTAGATATTCATCAGGCAAAACCTTTTACTGCAAATAATAAAAAACAGAAATTGCTTATTTTTATTTATGACTTTTATGAATTTGGGAACTAATCACCATTACCCCAAACCATTTATTAGAATTTGCATAAATGCATTAGTATAAGACACTTTTAATCGTGGGGGCAACCCCCAAAACTTAAAGACCCCATCCACCACTTCAAAACACTCATGACAGGCCTGACGGTGCTCAGTTTAGAATATATCAGAATGTTAAAATGTACATCTTCATTAGAAAAAAAGAGAAGAGGCAAGATTTAATGACAGCAAAGGTAGAAAGAGAAGGTGGGGAAAAATGTGGAAGAAGGAAATAGAGAGAACAAGGAGGTGTGAAAAGCAATAAAGAAACAAGTATATAATAAAATAAGAAATTGATCAAGCATAATCAGCTTATAATAGAGTGTATTTGCTGTTGCTATTTGATTTAGCAGAAAAGTGTGAATGTAGACAACATGGCTGCCGTGATGAGTATTGCACCAATCGATAATTCCTGTTCACTGAGTGGAGTACAAACAAAGTTGATGGTATTTAGTGTGCGGCAGATATTATGTACACAATTAACAATAAGTTACAAGCAACAGACACAAGAAGCAGCCATAGCTGGAACTAATTTGACATTGAGGTTAATAACAACAGTGACAATATCGGCCATGTTTGCTTCATATAAACACATGTCACCACTTATATGGTGTTGCAGTTTATCTGTACATTTTTGTTGACACATTTTTTTTCCATATATATACAGTAGTGTGAGATGGGCTGGAAAAGAACCAAGAGATAATGTGGTGGGGGCAGAGGGATACTAAAACAATGAGAGAGAGAGATTAAAAAAGAGAAGTGAAAGGGTGGAGAGAATGAAAGATGACAAGGAGAGTAAAAAGAAAGAGAGATGGTAGCAAAAGTAGAAAGAACAAGTGAGATGGCAGGGAGAGAGAGAGAAAGAGAGCAGAAACGACAGAGAGAGAGAGAGAAAGAGAGCAGAAACGACAGAGAGAGAGAGAGAAAGAGAGCAGAAACGACAGAGAGAGAGAGAAAGAGAGCAGAAACGACAGAGAGAGAGAAAGAGCAGAAAAGAGAGTAAGTAAGCAGTAATAACAAGAGAGACTGTACACAGAGAGGACAGGAGAAAAAGATTGCTTGGAGAGAGAAATGAAAGGACAGAGAAGAAGTGAGATTGCTAGGAAAGTGACAGTCAGGAAAAAAATAAAAAAATAGAGATCTTCCAGAGAGAACTGTTCAAGAGCAAGAGATATATTAAAAAATGCCTAATAGATGACTGGGTGAAAGAAAGAGAGGTAAAAAAAAAAAAAAAGAGATGACAAGAGGAGAAAGAGAAAAAAAAGAGAGGTCAGGGAGAGGCAAGAGAGATATCTGGACGAGAGAGAGGGGGGAGATAGAGAAAATGAAAGAGTAGAGAGAAAATGAGAGACAGCAAGGGCATAAAGCAGAGAGAAAATGAGAGACAGCAAGGGCATAAAGCAGAGAGAAAATGAGAGACAGCAAGGGCATAAAGCAGAGAGAAAATGAGAGACAGCAAGGGCATAAAGCAGAGAGAAAATGAGAGACAGCAAGGGCATAAAGCAGAGAGAAAATGAGAGACAGCAAGGGCATAAAGCAGAGAGAAAATGAGAGACAGCAAGGGCATAAAGCAGAGAGAAAATGAGAGACAGCAAGGGCATAAAGCAGAGAGAAAATGAAACAGAGCCGAGAGAATATGAGAAACAGCAAGAAGACAGGACAGAGAAAAATGAATGATTGAGAGCAGAGTAAAAGAGACCGAGATGGTGAGAAAAGTGAGAGGGAGGAGAGAGAAAAAAGAGAGAGACAGTGGGCAGTGTGAAATAAAAAAGAGATAAAGTGAAACAGTAAAAAAAAGAGAGAAAGATTGAGAGAGAGAGAGAGAGTGGGACGGGCTTGAGGGGAAAGAGAAGCCAGAGAGAGAACAAGTGGGATGGAAAAGTATATACAATAAGTAGAGATGGAGAAAAAAAGAGAGAGAGAGAGAGAGAGAGATAGAAGGAAGGGAGAAATGAAATCATGTTCAAGAACATAAATAAATTCCATCTTTTTTTTATTCATTAGCATCTTTAAAAAAAAAAAAAAAAAAAAAAAAAAAAAAGAGAGACATTCTCCACTCCTACATGATCCTACCCTGGGTGACTGGCAGCAGGAAGATACCAATTCTATCAATAAAGAACAATGTCTCTGATAGGTGGGGAATTGACACAATTTGAACTCTTGATTAACACATGGCATCTTTTCATTGTATTTCTATAAGCAGACACACACTAGGCATTGATTCAAGATGGTATGGACAGAGATTGGGATGAGAAGTCTACTGCATGGCATAGTGTCAAGAACTTTCTCAGATGAACAGTAACAATCCGGTTATCCCAAGAGATATATTGTTCAGACAAGACCTCTGCTAAACATTTTCTCCAGTCTTTCCTCCTTTTATATGCCCTGTACCTGCAAGACGTGGGTGATCATGGCTTCCCATAATTTCTTGTCCCTAGCTATTTTAAACAATGCTTGACTCTTTACCATCCCTCTTTTATCACTGCTCTGTCATCCATTCATAGAAACTCATTACTTAGGTTATTTAGTATTTCCTTCTGTCTCTCCTTTCAATATGTCTTGTGAATGTTAAATTTTCCAAGCCCTCTTCACTCAGAATGCATTCCAGAAATTTCAAGTGTCTCTTTCTGATGGGAAGTAAAAATGTTCTCCTTGTTACCATTTTCTTTAGAACTTCCACTATTGCTCATATGTTCAATCCATAGTATCTGCTGCATCTCTAGCTTTGAGTCTCTTTTTTCATCTGTAAGCAAATTGTCTAGCATTCCTTGCCACACAGGACAATGGATATGACAGCTGTTCTTCACTCTTTTCTTTATTTTTGAGGACGTTTTTAGCTTCATCAATTGGTTACAAAGACACCTGACATACCCACAGACAAGGATAAAAAAAAATTATATGTTAACTGGTGTTGAGATTTATTCATCATCCCATGAAGGCAAAATAGGAATTGCCCAGTTCCTCTGTGGCCTGTGCCAAAGAGGTTTGAAAGTGACTCATGACTAAGTTAAACCCTGCCATAAAGAGCTGGAGATTAAATTATTCATTTTTTTTTAAATCATTTCACCTCAAGTAAAGTGATAAAGCCACTATGATACAAAGGGTTACTTAGAATGAAAGACAACAGAGTGAAGGAAACTGAGAAAATGTTCCTGAGGAGAAAGGACGTTAAAAAGAACAGGTGACAAGATGGAAATTGATGTTGCGTTTTTCTTTTTTTTTTTGTTTCACAGCATATCAACCTCAATGGGTTATTTAATGCCAACAAGATTTTAATTTCTGGTAATATTTTTTTTATTTTCAAAAATATATTGCTACTAATTTTTTTTTTCTTCAAAAATGTATTGCTGGTAATATTTTTTTTTTTTTTTACAAAAATCTATTGCTGGTAATAATTTTTTTCTTCAAAAATTTATTGCTGGTAATAATCTTTTACAAAAAATGCATTGCTGGTATTAAAACCTACTTTTACACTTTTATAGTGTTTTGACCCCAGTTTGGGACTTAACTATTTCCCCATAGCTGGAACCCTAACAGGTGCTACCACCCCGGGCCAGGGTGGACCTGGGAACACCAGCAATTAAGAGGTGGTTCCATGATCCTCACAACCTTCTGATCAAAGGCCTTGTTATTGGATGTAGTTTATTGTCTTACCCAGGATGTGGATCTAGTTTATTGTCTTACCCAGGATGGATTGATGTTGCATTTAAATTCTTAAAGATGGTAATTGACAGTACAAAAACAATCTGGAAAGGTGTTCCATAGGAAAGAAGAGAAGAAACTAATAGAGTAAAATTTATGGTTACATTAGTAAATTTCTATAGTAAAATGTGACATCTAGCTACCAGTTTGGTTTTATGCTCAATTTCATGAAATCCAGGTACTAAAGAGGAATGCTCATTTGAACAATTGCTATAAAAATATTTTTTTAAAATAATAAGTGGGGGAGCTATGTTACAGTGGTAACAAAGTTGCCAGATTGGAAACTATAAGATTTCAGATTCCTCTTTGGTTTTTCTCAAGAATCTCAAGATACATAGCATAAGCACCATACCAGATATGACAACAATATTCAATGTACAAGTGTACAGTTTTTTAACATTTGCACTTTTTATTAGAGTATGCCCAGATGAATGCTCACACATCTTAGAATAAATGCTCTGGAATCATGGAGTGATGGTGTAGCCATGTACATGTTAAATGGAAATAGTTCAAATTTCATACCCTTGAGAAAGATCTGTTTTCACTTTTCTCTTTGCTCTCTTGCCAAATACCTTGGCAAAATATCTCATCACTGGCATGTATGCTGTTACCCCAATAGTTTAACACAAGTTCTTACAAATTTGTCTGAAGAATTAACACACACATGATTATTAGAGTTACGACATTTTTAACCCTATGTTCTGGTTTCATAAATCAATGAACTTTTGTCCAAAAGTAATGAAAAAAAGCATTAATCTGTTTTAGTTTTTGAAAAAGGTTACCTCAAACTGAATATTCGATTTTACCATATATACAACAAGAGTAAAAAAAAAAAAGAAATCAAAATATTTCAGAAGCTTTATTTTTCATTTTGCTAATAATGTAGTTGGATAGTACTTGTATACTTTTAACACATTTAACAGTTTATAGCTATAGCATAAAATACAACCTTACAAATAAACAATAGTTCAAGAATGCTCTAGGAAGTTCTAGAACGTCATAGTACTACTTTACTTATATATGATTTTAGAAATTTTGTGTTGGGAAGTGATATTTAAAAATAAAATGAACTGAATTAAACCTTCCTTCATTATTTTTGAAATGGTCCACTGAATTATGGTACAGGAAATCAATTATTTTGTAAAAAGTCATAACTAATGATTATCTAATCTGATAGAGATCAATGTTTTTAAAACTGATGTTAAAACACAAAATACAGGTTTTAAACTTTCAGTCACTGAGTTTATTGGGAAACTGACAGTAATGTGTGAAGTTTGTCAAAACTTAATTTGACACATTTAATGGATATTTAAATAAAAAATTAATGGATCTCTACTGGATTTTGTTGTGGAGCACTGTTAAAAAATAACATTAAGTTACATCTATTATTATTCAAATATTAATTACATGAATCTAAAATTCATCCATGCATTGAATACTGTTGCCATATCTGATCTGGTTCTTGTAATATATACCACAATGAATGTATGAGTACTATGAGATTGGCAAATAGTATAAAAATTTAGTGGCAATGAATGCTTGAGTAGACGTACCTTTTTTTTTTTTAAACAATCAAATTATATATGTATTTTAGGTATATAATGTGTCCAGAGAAATGCATCTATTATTCTTTGAATTTGACTGTCATTGTACATCTGAATTTATGGAAATCTTCAGAATTAACTCTACTTGCAAGTAACTCAATTTGATTAGCTCACCTGATTTTGTGGTTTAAAAAGGAACAGTTTCTTATTGGGTTATTTCCTACAAAGTCATTCTACTGACTAAAACTAGAATGTAACAAGAGACAGTCCTCACTTATTACATGTACACACACAATATATATATATATATATATATAAATAAAGGTAATACATCTGTTGGTATATAATTTTTGTTGGTTGAAATAGATCTCTATTCCATATAAGGTAATTTTAAATTTTATGGTTTACTACAATATATATCATAAAATAGTTTTAAGGTGTGGTAAATTTATGGGTTAAAGTGCTCAATATCAGTGACAGAACATATATAAATATAAAAGTGAACATTAAATTCAACACCCAGAGGCAACAGTCCATTTCATGATTGAATGCAATTGTCAGGCCATATGCATTGTGTTTTGCATAACTATTTGTATACACAGGTCAGTGATGCATTGTGGGTAGTCTATTGTATTGTTGTAATGTTTATTTTGTTGGGCTGTAATGGTATGTTTTGAATTATTCAAGGGACTATTTAGTGGAAATAATTTTGGATTCCTATGCAGTATTTTTAAGCTATTTATAATGTTTGTTAATTTTTTTATTTATTTATTATGGATTATTTTATTGTTGGTTGTTATTACATTTGCTTGTGTTTATATGCATATTTGTGGTTGGTTAATTATTTACTTTATTTACTTATTGGTTTTGATTAATTTTTATTTATTCATTTTTGTTTATTCTTGTCAGTAATTAGTTATATATATATATGTGTGTCCATAAAGTTCGTGTGCACTTTAAAAAATTTATAACTTTATTTGTATTTGCGATAGAAATAATCTGTAAAAAATGTTATAAAGTTTAATGTACCTAGTTTTAAAGTACAGCTAAAATAATTAATGTGATTTCAGGTATTACTGTAAATTAGTTGGCAAATGTTTTCCGTGAACTGCATAATCGTATTACCCTTTGTATTGCTAATGATGGAGGACATGTGGAAACTTAAATACAATTTCAATAAAACCTTAAAAAAATACAGATTTACTTCTTTCTAATCCTTTCTACAAATTATTTCTATTGCAAATACAAATAAAGTTATAATTTTTTAAAGTTCACACGAACTTTATGGACACCCTGTATATATAAATGAGAGAAACAAGAAATGGAATAAAAATCCACAGTTCATTGCATTTAGCTACCTACCATCACATGAGGAAGTACAATCATAGAATTGAAACATGAAATCTTTTGTGTAGTGATTTAAAAATGTTTTTATTAGAATCTCTTATAATAAAAATATAATAATATATATATATTAAAGAAAAACAAAAATGTTGATGGAACCAATGGACAATATGCCAAAACCTAAAACTCTTATATAGATAAGGCCTTGTATAAAACTGACAATACTGAAAAAAAGAGAGTAAAAAGACCTAAGGCAAACTTACTGACACAGTAAAGTGCTCAAAGGGTAGATAGCCCAGACTGAGCAAAAAGTGCTTAACAATGTTAAATCCTATGAAAGGATGGCTCTAGTCATAACCAGAGTTTCACGC